CGGAGCGCGCTGGGGGCTGGCTGGTGCCTGCGCTCGGGGGTCTCCTCTGGGAGGGCCGGGGGAGGGGTGCGTGTGCTTTCAAGTACCTTTAAAGTGTGTCTGTTTTGCAGATAGAAAGCTTAGACAAGAGTCTGGAAGATTTGCTGACCAGGGTGGATGAATTTGTGGGAATGCTGGACATGGTACGTACAGCTCGGGGGTAGCTGGGGTTTTGGAGTCGAAATACAGCTTGGCATGTACTCTGTCTCGTTTAAAAAGATGGGAAGCAGCCTTTGGTCTAGGCAGACAGGTTCTGGTATGAAAACACACTTGATAATTAGATTACTCATGGATGAAAACCACTGAACTTTCACATCAGAGCAAAATAGGCCGATGTAGCTATATAACTGAATATTTACGTAGTCCTGTTTCTGTGTTTGTCCTTTACATGCGTGGAATCCTATTATGAATGGCACAATGCTAGATACTGAAAAGGCCAGTACACTATTCTACTTCTTCTTTAACAAACCCCATCCTCTCTGGGCTTTGTAATCAAAACTGGTTTTGTCTTTAGGGGGCCCTTTCTTACCCTTTCGTCAGAAAGGCAGCTTTGTTTTCACTTTCGCATGGGAGGAGACAGGGGAACTGAATGTAGAGTTTGTATAAGCTGACAGTGGTGTACAGGCTGTCTTTCAGAGCATAGCGCATGCGGTTCTCCTGCCCAACTCTGAGGGGGACTTCGCTGTATTTTTTTTTCTTAACCAATAAAAAAATTTCTGTGGCCTGACTTTGTTTTTAGTAAAGTTGAGGAAATGTACAGGTAGTAAAGTTTAAGTAAAAAATTTTAGTGTAATGTATTTGATTCTTTAGTATGCCTTGAGAAATGTCCAATCTCAGTTCTGATGAGGCTAAGGCAGCCTATTTTTAATATAATTACAAGGATGAATATTTGCCTATGCAAAGTAAATTTTGTTCAAAGGCGCTTACTAAACTGTACAAAACAGCTAGCTTATTAGTTTTAATCTAGTACTTTTATACTAATACTAATCTAGTATTTTTAAACTAGGAGTTTTAATCTGTTAATTAGAGCACAATTCTAGTTTCCAGAATAAAATCTACTACTTAACATTTCGTTTTATTCATTGACTATTGTATCATTTCTTTGAATCATTTTAGATTCGAAGTGATTCATCTCAAGTTGTCAATGAAAGTATACCTGAAATTTACACAAAAGCTACAGCAATGAGACAGATATACAGGAAGATTGACAAACTAGAGGTATGTATTTGATATGTTGTAGGTGTATTCTGTTTCTCAGTAGGGGGAAGAATAAGCGGTATGTTCTAGTTGCCTGTCTTTTGCACGTGCGTGCACGTGGAATGGATTCAGATCTGTTTTCATAGAATTGTGGAATAGTTTAGGTTGGAAGGGACCTTTAAAGGTCATCTAGTCCATTCCCCCCCTTTTTTCTCTCTGTGTCCAATGTGGATTCAATACTTTATGGTTAATGAAGAGAATATAATTTATTAAGAATTTCTGGAGACTGTGGACATTCTAAAACAAAATGCTTTTTTAAAAAAAAAACTATTTTTTAATTTTATTTACTGCTTGGAGCAAGGCAGGCATTTTTTTTGTTTTTGTGGAAAGCAGTAGTACCACATTTTCTTCTTTTTGGCTTCTTTTGATAGTATCTGTCAAAGTTACTGTGTTGGGAGCTATTCAGAGATTAGTGGAGTGAGCGGTCTGTTGATTCCTGGTAAAGCTTCAAAACTGTGATTCAGATCCTTGATCCCACTTTTAGTGGAAAGGGAGATAAAAGTCTAAATTCTAATAAGTCTAAATTAGTTATTTGCCTTTCAAATAGGAAAAGGAAGGCTGATTGTTTTATTAGATTTAATCTGTTTTCACAGCCTTTTAAGTATCTCACGTAATTTTTAGTAATAAAATAGACTTTGTGTAGGCAGAAGGGAAATAGAACATGGAGTGTTTGACTCCTTTCCATTCAAGTAATGGAACTTTCACCACTGTTGTGTGATACATAATCCTGTTTTAATTTGTTAGTGAAAAAGTTGAATTTGTTTTGGGGTTTTTTTCACACTAGGCTTTTGTGAAGATGGTTGGAAATAGCGTAGCTGGACTGGAAGAACGGGTCATAAAGGCAGAAACAGACCTTGGAGCTTTTCCAAGCACATTCAAGAAAATCTTGCACACAATCAACATACCATCATTCCTTAATGTAAGTAAGCTTTTTGTTACCATGTGACCAGCTTAGTTGCTCTGCTTGCCAGAGTGGATGATTAAAATAATAGTAAGTGTGTTACACAGACAGCTGAATGTCACTGTATCTTTTACGTACTGTGTTAGGATTTTTTGAAAAGTTCTCAGACTTAATTAAAAAAAACTCAAAACTTAAAAATCACAGATTTGTACAAGGAGTTGTCTAATATTCCAAAATAAGGCTGAATACATGAAGAAGGGAACGCGAAGGGCACGAACAAGCACATAATACACAAGCCTTTATGTTAAAGCACCCCTGATCTCTGATGCAAAGCAAGTATGCAAAGCAAGTAGCAAGAGCCTGTACAGACAACACTGTCAAAGGATCATTCTGCATTAATAATATCACTGCAGAAGCATTATCAAAAAAGCAAATGAAAGCTATGCTGCACAATATTTTTAAAATAAAGGTTCTATTTATATTCAATCCACATAGTTCAGTAATCATGGAAGCACCTTGTTAAACTTCATAAGGATGCTGTTTTCTCCATCCTTCCTTGTTAACTGCCTGTGGATTGTTTCTCTACGGAAGACTTGAAGTGCTCTCTTTGGTACGTTCCAAAGAGATGCCTTACCTAACCTTAAAGTGGCACGATGCTCTAGTTTTAAAATATCCTTGTGGTTTGAAAAAAAAAAAAAGAAAAAAACCTGAACACCTGATGCTGCTTGGCATCACCTGCTAATACACCATTTATAAGTACTCCTACGTGCATCTTGTCAGCTCCCAGGTTTTTTTTTATCTTTTCCCGTATTCATCCTGTACTAGCTTAGGTTTCTGTGTCACAATACTGGTGAGAATGCTGAAATAAAATAGGTTTGGAGAGGAAGATGGTTGTGGCTGTTTGAGGTTTCTTTTCTTTGGCTTTTAGAGTGATGTCATTTCTTTTCTTTAAAAAAAAAAAAACAACAAAACAACACAAAACTGCTATTTATGGGCCAATTACAAACCCAAACAACTGCAGCAGTTCCCTTGAAGAATATTCAACATCATTTTCTGTTCCGTTGCTAAAAACAGTTGTCAACCATGGAATTATAATCTTACATTGAGAAGTTTGAAAGTTCTAAGACAGTGCTTTTTTAGTGTTGCGTGGGAATGATTTGTCAGCTTAGCAGTTTTTCCACAATTAATAAGGTGGAAAGTCTTTGAAAGCGTCAGCAAGCTGAACTTGGCGTGTCCAGTGGTTTCCTGGTTTGAGTATGGATAGCGATAAAATCAACACTCAGAACTTACTGGCATTAATTGATTAACTGAAAGGCAGGTCACTGTTCCACAGTGGTACGGAGTATTGCATAGTAAAGTATCTGTTTGCAATAGCGAACGCAAGCATGTCTGAATGAAAACGCCTGAAGAGATTTCTCCTCATGCCTAACACTGAACTAGCTCGCTCAGTGTGTCAGTCCTGTGGAAAAGAAGGCTATGCCGATGTCATGACTTTCACTGTAGCTGTAGTTCATGTTTTCCTGCTACAGTTTTAATTTAGTCAAGTCCCCTCTCTTTCCTTTTAAATGTATCTCGGGTTTTATGCAATGAATATATTTTGTATTTCTTAAGCTCTGTATTTGTAATCTCACTTCCAGATTTTGCCCCAAGTTCTTGCCTTGTGAATATCAGGCAGTGTAAAGTACAGTACTGTCAGACTTCTAATATCACTAAGGATGTAGACTCTCTCAAAAGGTAAAAAATGTCTGCTAAGCAGCTGCAAAAATAATAATTCATACATGTGCACTTAGGCCATTGTAGGTACTGTGCCTGCCTATGAATTTCATCACAGGATGGAAATCATCCCCTTCTTGCACATACGCGAATACAGTGCCTCTTAAATCAGTGTGGCGAGTTGCAGAATACCTGTGACCTTAGTTTCCCTTGCGTGCAAGGTGTTTTCTCATAGGGCAGGTACAGGATAGGAAATATTTTTTAAAACAGAACTTTTATTTTAAAGATTGTTTTTACATTTGGCAATATTTGTGATATAGAGAATGTTAGTAATACCCACTATTTATAGATCCAATCTTTGTTTATGTTTTTTTTTGTTATGTAACAACTTGAATGGCAAAACAAACATTTCAGAGAAATCAGTGATATCACAGAGTTAAAGACAAATGTCATTTAAGTGTCATAAACCAGCAATTTTGTATGTAACGGGAGAATATGTACTTACTTCATACGGACTACAAGTGTACAGCTCAACTCAGCATTGGAGAAAATCCACTTAGCTGTTTTGTAGGCATGCTTAATTATATCCTCGTTTTGGTACTGTGAAAGAATTCCGAACTCAAAGTATACGAATGATGTTTGGCATGCTTTTAACTTTGTTATTGGTGAAGACTCTAATTTCCTCATCTCAGGCAGGCAGAAAATACCTGAAGAACTCTGCAGGCAAACTGACTGAGAGCTCTGCAAAAGAGTTTGTTAAAATCTTTTCATGAGTCTAAAAGAATTTTTCATGAAAGAAGTCTTAATTTCAAGCCTTTTATTTAAGACCATATATCGAAAATGTACACCAGGTCTGTGTTTGTCGTGCAGCATCATTTACATGCAGGAAGGCGGACACAGTCGTCAGCAGCGGTCCTTGCTGCTCTCTCTCTAGTGAGCCATTTGGTATAGCAAAACAACGTACAGTTGGTATTTAAAAGAAATGTGTACGGTTATCCTGAAAAACAGTGTAACAGCTCTTTTCCAGTCCACTACCCTATTATTTTTAATGGTATGTTATAGTACATACGTTCTAATGTATGTTAGCAGCAACCTTCTCAAAAGAAACATTTGGTAGGTGTGTTGCCATGTGAAGACTTTCTAACTAAGTAAATGAGAATGCAGGCAGCGGCTGAGGAGAACTCGGAGGCCGGAGCAGGAAAGGTAAACGTAGATGGCTTTGGAAGGATGAAGGTTACAATGACTATCCTGTCAGCTGGAAAAGATTACCCACTGGGCTCCTGCAAAGCTGGCATATCTTATACCTTCCAGGACTGCGCCTGTTCAGGTGATATAATGGTGAAAGTCAAAGGCTGCTTTTCTTCACTAACGTTAAGAGTATGTCAGACCCATCTGAGCGATGATTAAAAATTAGTCTAACTAAGGAGATATGCCTTCAAAATTATTCTTGTTTTGCATTTTGGCTCTGTAGGCTTTGTTTTAAAACTTGCTTTTTTAAGAATGCGAAAAATAAACTTACCTAATTTGCAGAAATCATCTTCCTCACGGCAACAACAGACCCTCTATGAACCTCCAGTCCTCTTCAAGACTGAAGACTATTTTCCGTGTCTTAATGAAGCACCTTATTGATGATTTTTGCTGTGGGATTGATATGGATCAGCCAGAATAGAGGCAGCCAAGTGAACAGAAGAAATGCTAAGCTCAAAATAGCTGCATTTCTGAGCATTATTGATGGCATATTGCCATTCTGATTCTCATTGTCTTCCTTCAGGCAGTATTTTCAGGTAATCTTTCTTTACGTACCTTATTTCAAAAGTCTTCCTAAAACACAAAATAAATTTTAAGATCATATTGCGGAAGGAACTTAAGAAACTTCTGCATTAGATTTTTTTTTTTTAATAAGGAAATAATGGGAAACATAGTTTTATATATAAATCTTTTAACACATAAATATCTGTGCTGCTGCAAGTGTAAATAACTGTACCACAAGGATATCTTTTTTCTTAATGTACTAATTGAGGTGAAAGAAGAACTGTGCATAAAATCATCTACTCCAAGTTCTGGAGCCTGATCTCTGCGGTTTGTACAGAGAAGTGCACCACATTGGGACGTACAGGTTGCAAGGGGAGGACTTGGAAGATCGGCGAGGAGTCAAGGATGTGGCTCGATGCATGTGATCTAGTCCCAGTTCACAACGTGAACATCCTGCCCCTGCTGATGATCATCAGGTCACAGTGACCTGAGCTCCTAGTTACTGCAGCGTTGCATTGTTTGGCATGTAACCAGGTGGGTAGGAGATATATATATACACATACATATATACACACACACGTATATATATAAAAAACCTGCTGTCAAAAAGAAGTATCTAAGTTGAGGCAGGGATGTCCCTGGATGGAGCCTCGATCGGACACCTGACCAGACTGTCTGCTGTTCCCTCGCAAACCTCTGTGCGGTTACTGGGGCTCCCTGCGCTGGTGGCAGTGTGAGTATATTGTCAATAAACTAATAGCTGTCGAACCCCTGTTGTGGTCTTGCGTTTCCCCTGATGGTATCCAACTGCACCATTGTTTCTGTGAACCTTTTTTCATACAGCCTCATGTTACTACCTAGTGGGTGTTAATCATGAATTGCTGTATTTCTCTAAACAGCAGTTTTGCTACTGCTGTTTTACTGCCAATATAACTTGCTACAAATACCTAGAATTCATGTTTCGGAGGAATAAGGAGTGCATTAGAGAAAGAACAACATGTCCACTGCTTTTGTGTTGCAAGCACAGAAAAAGGTATGCAGTTCTAGAACCAAGGGTTGTGTATCAATAGATAAAGCTTTGAAAACCGTATGGTCTTGTCTCCCATCAACAGCAGGGACCGGGTTCTAAACAGTATCTGAAGTGACACTTAGTAAAAATGAAAACAGAAGATTGTGAAGTCAAAATTAGTAGGCTCCAAAAGCTGTTCTAATGTAAAACTTGCAGAATTTAAACATAGTCTAGAAGAATAATCACATGCAAACATACAGAAAGGAACCCCCTCGCCCCACCATACTCCTTGCTTTCATCCATGTCTAAATATTTCAGCATTTAGAAGTGATGTTCCACTGCAGCAACAGTTGCATTTCCCAAAGGTGTGGTGCCTTTCAGTTTATGCGTAAATAGTCCTTGAAGGCTTGTCACTCCTCAGTGAAATCTAATGAAATGACATATCTGTAACTTAGTGTAGCGATGTAAGGCTACAGCTAAACACACACACTAATACTGACATTACAAAAAATTTTAAACTTTAGAACAGCTTTCTAATTAAGTGAATCAACTGCTCAAATAACAACTTTACCCTCTGCTGAATGGAACTAAAATGCAGTTAAACAGATGATACAATATAAAATATCAAGATAATAAGCGATCTCGGCAAGCTTATGCAGCTGACCTGTTCATATTAAGAAGAGAAAAAACAATACCGTGTTCTGAAGTCAGCATTTATGTTAAAGAGTTGTATGGAAAATGTAAGTTATATTTTCGAAGCACACCGCAAACAAAAATCTTGCATTTCCTATAACTAGTATAGAATGTTGTAAATGCTCTAAAATATTCTTGTTACTGAAAATAATGGAAGATTTATTAAGATTTATTAAGGAAATGCTATAGAAGTACAGACAAATAAATTGTGGGGTTCTTTATACATGATACAGAATAACAAGGTCACGGTTCATCTGTGAACTATAATCTAGAGAAGCTGTAAAATTAAGGCATTCTCATAATGCTGAGAAAACCCACACACGCACTCTGTTGTTGAATTTGTACTGCCTTGGCTGTCTTGTTCATGGTCAGTCTCGCCAAGTAAGAATGGCATAAAAAAAATGCCAAGTGTTCACACTCGGTAACAAAAGACTCCTAGAACATTCCTTTATTTTGTCTGCTGTTGTTACCTTGCATTAGTATAAAACCAGCAATAACTATATTATGAATTAGTCTCAATACTTACTATTTTTGCCAGCTGCAAATCTAGATCTCAAAATCCACTGATCCCGATATTCATACACCCAGAAAGCTGTGTTGTGTGTTTCTCTGTACAATGTCTTATCTTTCTCCTCTTGCTTGGGTTCCAAGATACAAAGCCAGTAACTGGCACTACATTGCCTGTTTTTAACATGAAGAGCTCTTCAGCTAAAACTGATGTAAAGCAAGACGTTACGTTTGGTGAGCTGAGCTGCTAAAGGTTGGTAGTCGAGTCTGTGAAACGAGTCAATGTTTAATATCAACGAAAGAGTCTTCACACAAATCTTACTTTTCTTCTATGACATGACGCAAAAATTTTAAAGTTATTCCAGCAGAGGTAACGCTAGAAGTTTTTATATTCTTAGGTACATTTTAGGCAAGCGTCTGATTGAAACTAGCTCTGCAGGTTACTGAAAGGTGTGTTTACTGTGAGATGTGTGTGTATACACAACAAAAGCTCCATTCACAAGGTACACAGGATGGACAGAGTGTTAGAGGTCCACATTTTTTGTAGCTCCTGCACAAAAAACAACGCAATCTGTCTTACCTAAACATTTAGTTACACGATAAACCATGCCTGAAGTAGGCACGTAAAGATTGATGTTTGTGTTTAGTTGGTTTTGGTCCTACACATGTTGTTCCACTCTTGAGCAATGCTACTGCAGGTGCTATAAGGCCTAAAGAAATTGTAGAAGGATGCGCCTTCTGACATGAAAAGAAACAGACTTGATTATTTATCTGACCAAATAATAAGTTGTTTAAAGATTTAAAGATGCACTGGATTACATTGACATTATCAAAACTCATAGCAGTTCATTAGTTCTGCTGACAGTAACCTTCAAGGTTAAGTAGTTTTACCTGCAATATTAAGAAATCAGTAGCAACCTTAATTTGCATTCTGTCCTGCGCAGGAACTGTTTCCAAATACTAAGATCTTGAGCTGTGAGTGAAACACCTTCCAGTATGAGAAAGAAGAGCAAGATAGCATGCATCTGCATCCATGAAGAGAACTTAGATTTGAAAATGGTAACTATTTTCAGGTTCCCTTACCAAAAAAAAAAAAGAAGGTATTTTAAAGTGATGACACCTTTAAAGTCCCTCAGTTTTCACAGAAAAAAATCCTAGTCTTGGGCCAGCTACCAAGAAAATCCCATATGTGCAGACAGAAGCCCTGCCTTGAAAAACCAAAATCCCTGTCAGATTTAGCTATGGGCAGAGAGGACCATCGCGGGGGTTGGTAATCTCTGTAGCCACTGCCCCTAAAGCCTTCAGGAGAGGCTGTGTCCGCTCCGCTGCTTCTGGTGCTTCTGCTGGAAGCCGGTGGGTGGTAGTACAGACTAAAAAGGTGATAGTACAGCCTACGGGTGGTAGTACAGCCTAGGGATGGTAGTACAGCCGCCAGGGCCAGCAGGTCTCAGAGATTTAGGGAATTTTCTTTGCCATCTTGCTTGGAGTTATCTACTCACAAACTTTTCATGATTTTGCAAAACAGTGTAATAGTAGTCAAATTATACACGATGATCAGTGTCTTAAAAGTAACTGCTAAGTAGCAAGGCGAAGAAAAAAGGCGAAGAGAAGGTACTGCTCACGGGCAATACTGAACAATGCTGGCGAGACAGAATGTGGTCACCTGTAGATAAATAGTTTAAAAAAAAAACTGAAATAATGCCTTTGGAATTATATCAGACCAAAGAGTAAGATAGGAAACCCAAAGTATCCTGTCTAAAATCTGCATGAAAGACTAAAACATCGTTTAATATTTGTCAGCTTTAATAGTGGCTGTACATTATTTGATGGACTATTAGATTAGGTAATAGAAGACATTAAAATTACATCAATAGTCATAAAAGATTATGTTTTCAGTTGAATGTGCTATCTATACAGGTTCTTGAATAGCCCTAAAAAAAAGTATATTGAAAATACAGGTATATAAATGAGCTGACAGAGCTAAGAAAATTAACTGAATATTAGCAAGTATTCTGTTAGAGGGTTCTGAGTGAAAACAAAGTGACAGAATTCATGGAGGGGAAAAAAAAAAAAGTGCACTTGTTGAGCATCAATGAAGAAAGAGAAGGAAGGTGTTTCCAGTTTGATTTATTATCTCCCACTGTTGAGAAACTGTAGGTTTCTCGGGAATAGCTTGATGCCTACATTATTTTAAAATAAATTAATTGTCATCTGTTTCTTATAGGTGACACTGTCAGGATTTTCTTTACAAGCAAGTGGTCTAGAAAGCAACCTTTAAAAAAAGAAAAAGCAATAGCCGAAATTCCCACAATCCTGGGACTTTAAAACTGAGAACTGGCACTAAGTATGGCAAAAGCATCTGAAATGTTTCTCTGAATATCAGTCGATCTAAAAGGTCTGCAGACAACGGCAAACTGTCAGAAAAGTTGGTTCACATTGATTCATACAAAAAAAAGAAAAGGAAAAAAGGAACGGTAAGAGCCTCATGCAGGGATGGAAAAGGCAGAAAATAGCATAGCTGCGAGAAAAGCCGGGGCGAACGCTAAGGTGCAAACTTGTGGTGACGGAGCTTTGAGCAGCAGGAGCAGATGAGGGCAGGATCCCTGAAGCGGGAGGGGTGGGTGTAGATCCACAACAGACCTGACGCACACGTGCGATTTTGTTACTTGTTCACAGTTTAGGAGCTTTTTACCTTTTTTTTGCCTCAGGGTGCACTACTCCCGAGTACATGGTTTTAGGAGGGGCTTAAACTGTGCTAGGAGAGCTGGGAAAGGAGAGTCTGGACCAGGTCGCCCTTACGGCATCTTTGATGAAAGCGGTAGGACTTGCAGGTAGAGTTAGCCAGACCATTGGACTGTTCTGGCTGAAAACCAGTCCTGCCAAGCCAAACAGTCCAGCCCCAGCACTGAAGTCCCAGCACAGGGGTGAGGGGTGACCCCCCTGAGAAGGCAAGCAAAGCACTTTCCGGAGCAGTGTCACCAGGGAGATGTGCAGCAGGGGAGATGCGTGCTGTGGAATTAGCATCTGTTTTTCTCATGCTGCTTTGATTAGTCCTTTCCTCTGCAGGGATGGCTTTGCAATTTGATCAGAAGTGTAGAGGGAAAGAAGAACGAAAAAATCAGGCGTTGGGAGTAGCCCTATCGTCGTCACTGCAGAGATGTCTGTGTGCTGTGTGTCCTGCTCAGATGCCCACTTCTAGCAGTGTTTTATCATCTCCAGTACAGCGGTTCGACTGCTAGTGATAAGCAGTGCCCTTGCTCTTGGTGTCAGTGGTTGCCGGGAATTTTTTTGGTAGTCTTCCTGTTGCATCTAAAATCCAGTATACTGGAAGACTGTTAAGGGAAAAAATGTTTATTAAGGGGAAAAATACTGAACAATAAAATTGAACAGAAATAATGTTTTCTTTCTGGATTTACTAGCTTGACTTTTCCTGGATTTAATTGTGTTTCTGTAGTCAAAGGAAGGAAAACACAAAGCAGCAATGCCAGAGAAATCTTGCCTAAGGAAAATCAACTATGATGTTGTTAACTAACAAGGCAGATGAGCAGTGGCCATTGCAAACTCTTTGCGTGTACCAGTAAGATAAGTCAAGACTCTGCCACGTGAGCTGGATGAAATTGTGAGAGGGACACAGAATGAACAATGGAAAGAGACGAGCGAAAGCAGGGCTAGATGATATCCCAGTGCCCATCTCAGTCAGCATTCTGGCACGTTAGTTTGCACCATGGAACTGTCTCTGGGTGTGAGACGGATTTTTTTTAGATCGAGTATAGCCAGAGACTTGCTCCAGGAGTTTACCTGACATGCTGAGCTGCTGTTGGGTATTCATTCCATGCTGCTGGCCTTGAGCTAGTCTTAGGTCAAGATGAAACTCAATGAAACATTTAGCTTGAACATCAGGTTTCTCCTTACAAATCTGCCCGTGCTGTGCTGATCTACTTGCTGAGACAGGCATAGCTGCAGAGTGGTTAACAGCACTCTTCAGGAGTACAAAGTCTGAACCAAAGTTGTGCGGTGAACACAGATGTGATGGAGCTGGAGTTTAAGTCCTCGTTTGAGGGTCACTAGTATGGAAATGAAATTCATGCAGGGGAATTGTGAAGAGAAGAGCCTGATGTAAAGGTCAGGTAGGAAAGCTGCTGGAGAGGAGATGGTGGAGGGGTGATGTGGAGGAGCAGACAGAGACCTGCTAACTGAACTCACAATAAGGAAGTGTACAGGAGATGGAAGCAGGGGCAGGTGACCCAGTGGGACAATAGAGCTGCTGTTTCGTTTTGCAGGGGTAGGGTTAGGAAAGCCAAGGCTGACCTGGACTTGAACCTGGTAAGGGATGTGAAGGGCAGCAGGAAAGGCTTCTACGAGTACATAAACAGCACAAGGAAGACCAGGGAAAATGTGCCCACTGCTGAATGCAGTGGGGGCCTGCTGACACAGGACACAGAAAATACGCTCGAAGTACTCAATGTACTGTGAAGCACTGGAACAGGCTGTCCAGGGAAGTGGTGGAGTCCCCATCCCTGGATGTGGTCAAAAACCTGTAGATGTGGCACTTCGGGACATGGTTTAGCAGGCACGGTAGTGTTGGTGTGATGGTTGGACTTGATGATCTTAGAGGTCTTTTCCAACCTTCATGATTCTATGATTCTACTCGATGCCTTCTGTGCTTCAGTCTTTACTGGGCAGTCTTTACTGGGCTTGCCAGTAGGGAATGAAGGAGAGGGAGACAGACACTTCACAGCAGTGCACACTGGTAGGACAAGAGGTGATGTGTACAAAAGTAAAAACTCCTTGCTAAAGCACCTTCTCTGCTGCATCCTGCATCCTTTTTTTTTAACCTTTTTCCCACAAGCTTCTTCGAATGTCTTCTAATTCTTGTATTGGAGGACACAATCTACAGTCATTAGCCATCTGTGTTGCTCAACATCTTGTAGTAATGTCTGTAATTTCTCTTTCCACGATCTCTTCCCTTGGCTGAAGAATCATATGAATGGTTTGGGTTGGAAGGGACCTCAAACATCAGGGATACTTTCCTCTAGATCAGGTTGCTCAAAGCCCTGTTGTTTTGTGTGTGAAACTTTCATGCCCTTATTGCCTTTCGCTGATCTTTTCCCACGTCTGCTGTATCCTTTCTGAGATCAGGAAACCAGGGCTGCCCATGTAATTCAAGGCACAAACAAATCAGAGGTTTAAATAGGACCAAAATCACATGCTCTACCGCTTTCTATGTTTCTTCTCTAGTTATTCCTAATATTGGATGTGCTTTTTTGTCCTCTTCTGAACATTTAAACTGATGTTTTCAGGACCTATCATAATTGTGTGATCTCATTCGAGAGTTACTGCTCAGATTTACTTTCTGACTCATAAAGTGGTTCATATACAAGCATAGTTTAGTGTAATGGCTAAACATGTGTCTGTTAAGCAGGAGGTGCTTCCAGTTAGTAGGATGATGGTTTTGCTAAAACAAAGGTTACTGCATATGTGAATCTGATATAAAAAGTAGCAGACTGCAGGGCTTTGCACAAGAGGGCAAAACCACAGAAGGTGCAGGGTCAGTGGGTTCGTGTACGGATTACATTACACCTACCGGAGGTCAGCAGCTGCCCAAGTCACCTGGCTCCTGTGTGTAATTGTGCTCACCTGGGCTGTCACTGGACTTTTCTTATCATTGTCACAGAGCAGCGGTCCTGGAAAAAATGATGTTTAACCTTGGGCCGAGGTGCTCTGCTGAAGCAGAGAGCCTGCAAAGTGTCTAGCAGCATGCGCCAGGTACTGCTCAGCCCACTGCAGCCTCAGAGGAGAAAGGCAGCAGGCTGTAGCACCGACAGGAGCCCTCTTCCTTTTGCATGTCCTCAGATCCTCTTTTGTGCCAGAAGTCACAGAATCACAGGATGTTTGGGGTTGGAAGGAACCTCTGTGGGTCATCTAGTCCAACCCCCCAGGGGTACCCTTCCAGGGTACCCTCTCCTCCCCATCTTTACCTGAACTCCTCTGTACCCTGAGGCTGAGCTGGCCCCTGCTCCGTGGCAGGGTGCAGGGGAAGCACTCTGAACATCCACAGAGGTGGGAAGTGGCACCACTTTATGGAGGCTCCTGCTTGGAGCATACTGAGAGCAACCATGCTGAGGGTTTTCCTCTAGTTCCTTCTGAACATTGTTTGGCCCGTGTTGAGGCCGAAGTGGGCATTTCACTGCCCTGCTCTGGTGAGATCTGTGTGCTTGTGCTCTCAGACATTTAGATGGTCAAGGGCTGAGTCCGAAGACTGTCAGCTGGGGAGGCTGCTGGGCCTGTCGAGAGGAAGGCAGTGCCTGTGCCACACTCTCCTTTGGACGACAGTATTCCTACATTTTGCCCCCCAAACCTTTGCTTTGAATCCAGTCCTTAAGACTATTGTTTGTGATTCATCATGCGCTACTTTTATCTTGCAGTGTGTAGGAAGAAGTTAAAGTCAATAACTGCTCTGCAGTGACAGTCTCCTGTTTTCTGTGTGAGGGTTTTGTGGATGCGGCCAGGCGATAACAGCACGGCGCTGAGAAAAGAGGAACAGCCTTGCTTTTCTACTCTTGCTCTTTTCAGCTTAGTTCTTTTCATTGTCTTCCACATCTGAGAGTTATGGTCAAACTAGAAAGCAGAGATGAGTATCTCCTCTTGCAAGAAAAATTAACATCTCCAACTGTGTTAGAGTTGAATTTTTGAGACCTGCTGCACAGCCTGGATTACTTTACAGGTGAAATGACAATACCAGTTTGGGTCCCACAAGCAAAGCCTGGCAAAACTGGAACAGGAGCAATATTCTCAAACATTCTACCATCATTTTTGCCCGATTTTCCTTTTACCTCAATAAGCAGTTTTCTAGCTGATTGATAGTCTGGTGCATAGTTTTATTGTTCATGCATGGTTCTTGTCACCATGCATGATGTTATTCGTATGTGATGTATTTATATTCATATGAATACTGTTGGTCCTTAGGGTCACTTGTTAAGGAGTCTCTGAGGAGAACAGGTTTGTTACATTTAGTATTGCTCACAAACTTGTTGTATGTTGTATGGTTTGACTTGTGGAGAAACTGCTTACTGTCGTGTTTAAAAGAAGTCTGGGAGGCATGCGCATCTCCTTGTCAGGGCTTGCGTATGACAGCGTTGTCATACGTCTGTCCCAGTCTGTGCGGGCATCTAATTGTACCTGACTTGTACCAACTGATGGAATGAATTAATGATTCAAAACATTAATGATGACAGGCATTTGCATCAACTGGACTCATCAGAGCGTGCATGTGTGAAAAGGTTCATCTCAGGGCTTCTGAAATGTGCCTGACCCTGCCTGGAGGCCACTGGGGATCTGCATAGGCAGCAGCTGGCCAGCTGTTACTTCATCACTTGCACTGCTGCTGGAATAGAAGTCTGCAGGCTGAGATCCACGATGCTGCTGGGGCCCTCGCAACAGACATGTTGCTGGTGCAGAGTCCTGCCTAGGTGGGTTCCCTTGCCAGATGGAGCTGGGTATGCAGCTCTGTGGAAGACAACGGGTAACCTGGCGTCTACCTGGGGTTTCTTGCTCTATCAAAAACGACATCTGTTTAGTCCTGAATTTCTATAGATTTAGCCGTAAATGGCTGGCTGGTGGAAGCTATTGGAGGAATATGGGAGGCTGTCAGCACGCAGCTGTGAGGACTAAGCCGTGTAAGGCAACAGGCAGGCGCACATTCCCCGCTGGGCCTGGAAATTCACATGGCCAGTCCCACCATGCTGACCTTGCTGGCTGCCTGTGCCCTGAGGCCACCGGTATGGCACTAGAAGGGCCTGCGGCTGCCCAGGGCTGATG